CCTTGTGGGTCCCTGACCTTCCTGCTCCGCTGGAACAAGGGCCCCAAAGTTGTGCAAATCCCTGGATCACGTGCCCAACCCCTGAGGCCCAGGCAGAGGGAAGCCCAGGCCACTGACCAGCTGAGCTCCAAGTGTGTGTGTGGGGGGGGGGGGCCTGCAGGACCCCAGATCCGAGCGATGGCAGGGCCCTGGTGCTGGGGTCCAGCCCGGGCGGTCCAGGGGTTCCCAAAGGTGTGGACGGAGTCGGCGAGGAATGAAGGACAGGGAGACAGCGTTCAGAGGATCAGCACAGCCAGGCTCTCTCTTTATTGTCCTGTTACATCTGTATTTACGCCATTTGATCCTAGAAGCCTCTACAGTCACATCATCATATCTTTTTGGTCCTCCCTTGACCTTCTGCAGTTCCTTGTTTCATGTCCATAGTTTCTTATCTGACCTTTGCCAGAAGTCTTATCTCTATCTCGCTCTGTGGGTTTAATCCTACCCATTCTATTCCAAAGGTTAGTCCCGCTCTACTGTGAAGCTACAAGGAAGTGACTGAAGGAGATTGTCCAAGTAAAGGTTATGTCCTCGTAGCCTTGCTGGTGGTCTTCCCTGGGACTGCCCTGCGTTGGCGGGTTTTCAGGGGCATAGGCTTTGGTGCTTTCTCTGGTGGGCAGACCCCTGGGGATGTGGGCCTAGCAAGTCCCACATTTATTGCCAACAGTTTTAGTCCAAGTTCTTCATCAGTAGTAGACGGTATTTCTGTAACACTAGGGGGTTTTACTGATTTATTCCCTTCCCTAGCCCCATTCATCCTTAACTCCAGGGACACATCCCCACCTGGGGAAACGACCTTTCTCGGGGAGGTGGCCCTGGTTAGAACACATAGCGCTAAGAGGGGGAGCAAACATATTAAGAACAGGATGCCCTAGACGCCAGGTCCCTGGGAACATAGGCCGTGCAGATGTTTCTTCCCTGCAGCCACTGGGTCAAGCAGCAAGGATGGACCGGCCTCCGGCACCCTGGTGTGATGGGGATGGGGGTGAGGCCCTGTGAGGGGCTCCCTGGCTTTGCCGAGGGGACCCCTGGGCTCCTGTGACACCCCTGGACGTGTGCCCTCTGGTCCTGGGAGCGAATCAGCCTGTGATGCTACAGCACCATGTGGGTGACCTTCAGCTGGGCCCTGACCCATCTGGGTCCTCGTCCCCACCCCACCCCCGGCCCCCAGAAGACTCAGCACCTGCTGCAGCCCACGCTTCCCCCTCCCCTCCCGGCCCTGCCAGCGAGTCACTCTGAGGTGTTGCTCCCAAACCTCAGAACTGCTCACCTGTGTCTCCCATCCCTGCCGGCTGACCTTGGACATGACCTTGTCCCCCAGGCCTCAGTGCCTCTGGGGAAGTCAGGGGTGTCCGGGCACCCCCCACCTTCTCCCCTCAGGACCCGCCAGCCGGAGCCCAGCCTCAGGCTCCCACTGAGAGAGGCTGGGAAGCCAGGACCCTGGTTCGGAAACGGAGGCGGACAGTGAAGCAGCTGTTTGCAGCCCCAGAAAATCTAGATGCACCGCTGTTTGCAGCACCTGGTGACCCCCACCTTCCCCCCAGCAAGGGCACCTCAGAGTCAATGGTTGCATCTCCCCAACCAGAGGGCGAACAGCTCAACCACCCAGCGAGGCAGACAGAGCAGAACTCTTCCGTGTCCCTTGCCCACCGCACCCACGGACAGACGGACGGAGGGAAGGGAGTGCACTCACTTGGGCACGTCAGCATGAGGCTGATGACTATGCTGTTGAGATCCTCCCCTAAACGCCCAGTCTTTATTTTCTATTTTTTTACTTTTTAAAATATAGGGCCCCAAAGTTGTGCAAATCCCTGGATCACGTGCCCAACCCCTGAGGCCCAGGCAGAGGGAAGCCCAGGCCACTGACCAGCTGAGCTCCAAGTGTGTGTGTGTGGGGGGGGGGCCTGCAGGACCCCAGATCCGAGCGATGGCAGGGCCCTGGTGCTGGGGTCCAGCCCGGGCGGTCCAGGGGTTCCCAAAGGTGTGGACGGAGTCGGCGAGGAATGAAGGACAGGGAGACAGCGTTCAGAGGATCAGCACAGCCAGGCTCTCTCTTTATTGTCCTGTTACATCTGTATTTACGCCATTTGATCCTAGAAGCCTCTCCAGTCACATCATCATATCTTTTTGGTCCTCCCTTGACCTTCTGCAGTTCCTTGTTTCATGTCCATAGTTTCTTATCTGACCTTTGCCAGAAGTCTTATCTCTATCTCGCTCTGTGGGTTTAATCCTACCCATTCTATTCCAAAGGTTAGTCCCGCTCTACTGTGAAGCTACAAGGAAGT